TCTGAGGGCTGCTGTAATGGCTCTCTGGCTTTTGTAGGTCTGAGGATGCAGCTGTGTGCCCCAGTGCCCTAGCGGTACTTAATAATGGCGCTCATTATTGAGCGCTCATGCCTGCAGTAGAAGGCTAGAGCCTAGAGTCTGTGTGAATCCAGAAAGTCTTTTGGAGCTGGATGTCCTGAGCATTGGACCTGATGATCCCCCCACTGTGAGATTTCCTCCTGACAGAGACACCCAGTCTTTGCTTTGGGGACAGCCGTTCTGTCTGTGATGGCGAGTAGAACCCACAGGCACAGACTTAACGTGGCTCCACCTTTCTGCCTTTCTGGGGATTGGGTGCCTGGGCATCTGCTGAAACTGGGTAATATTTTCCGAGACCTTTTCTGGGTGGTGGTATTGGCTGAGGGCTCTGAGATCAGACCAGCTGTTCCCCTCCCTGTGGGTTTGCACCCGACAGAGAAACTCAGTCTCTGGTGCCCTGGGGCCCAAAGTTCTATCTGGGGCAGCGAGTCAGGCACAGGGAGGACTCTGTGCCAGTGCCAGTGCCTAGGTCCTCGGCTCTGGCTCTGGGCTGACTCCTGGGCGCTCATGGAACTCTGAGTCTTTTCCAGGGAATGTCTGTGTGACCTAAGGATGGTCCCAATCTTTTCCTGCACTGTGGGGTTATCTCTCGATTGGAAATACCAGTCTCTGATGTTGTGGGGCCCACAGTTCAGTCTGGGACAGTGATCAGAGCACGCTGGCATGTGGCTCTGGGCTGGCGACCAAGCGCTTGGTGGAACTGAGATCTCTTCTGCAGTTTAGCTGGGTGAATTAAAGCTGACTGAATCCCCCACCATGGGGTATCCTCTTACCTGGGAAACACAATCACTTGTGTTTTAGGGCTGCGAGTTCTGACTGCTGGTCACTGTGCCAATCCTGCTGTGCTGCTGGTCAGAGCGAGAATCATCCCTGCGCTGCCATCTTGCTGAATCCCGATTTCCTTGTTTTTAATTGCTGAGTAATTCCATTGTGTAAAAGTGCCACAATTTCTGTATCCATTCCTCCGTTTATGCATATCAGGGTTGTTTCCAGGTTCTGGCTATTAGAAATAAATCTGCTACAAACATGGGTGAGCAAATGTCCTTATTGTGTACTTGAGCATATTTTGGGTATATGCATAGGAGTGGTATAGCTCCATCTTGAGGTAGCACTATTCCTAAAAGTCTGAGAAAGAGCCAGATTGATTTCTAAAGTGGTTGTACAAGTTTGCATTCCCACTAGCAATGGAGGAGGGTTCCCCTTTCTCCGCAACCTCTCCAGCATGTGTTGTCACTTGAGTTTTTGATCTTAGTCATTCTGATGGATGCGAGGTGAAGTTTCAGGGTCCTTTTGATTTGCATCTCCCTGATGGCTAAGGATGTTGAGCATTTCTTTAAGAGTTTCTCTGCCATTCTATATTCCTCTACAGAGAATTCTGTTTAGCTCTGTACCCCATTTTTTAATTGGATTACTTGACTTGTTGTTTTTAACTTCTTTAGTTCTTTATATATTCTGGATATCAGCCCTCTGTCAGATATAGGGTTGTTGAAGATCCTTTCCCAATCTGTAGGCTGTCGTTTTGTTCTGATGACAGTCTCCTTTGCTTTACAGAAGTTTTCAGTTTCATGAGGTCCCATTTATTGATTGTTGCTCTTAGAGCCTGTGCTGTTGGTGTTCTGTTCAGGAAGTTGTCTCCTGTGCCAATGAGTTCTAGGCTCTTCCCCACTTTTTCTTCTAGCTGATTTAGAGTATCTGGTTTTATGTTGAGGTCTTTGATCCTTTTGGACTTTAGTTTTGTGTAGAGTGATAAATATGGATCTATTTTCATTTTTTTTGCATGTAGACATCCAGTTGGACCAGCACCATTTGTTGAAGATGCTGTCTTTTTTTCCATTGAATGGTTTTGGCTTCTTTGTAAAAAAATTAAGTATAGGTGTGTGGGTTTATTTCTGGGTCTTCTATTTGGTTCCATTGATCCTCCTTTCTGTTTCTATGCCAATACCATGCAGTTTCTATTATTATTGCTCTGTAGTACAGCTTGAGTTCGGGGATGGTTATACCTCCAGATGATCTGATTGTTTTGGAGATCTGGGTTTTTTGTTTCTCCATATGAAGCTGAGAATCTTTTTTTCAAGGTCTCTAAAGAATTAAGTTGGTATTTTGATGGGAATTGCATTGAATCTGTAGATTGCTTTTGACAGGATGGCCATTTTCACTATGTTAATTCTGCCAATCCATGAGCATGGAGATCTTTCCATCTTCTGATATCTTCTTCAATTTCTTTCTTTAGAGACTTAAAGTTTTTTTTTTTTTCAAACAGGTCTTTCACTTGCTTGGTTAGTGTACCCCAAGGTACTTTATGTTGTTATTGGCTATTGTAAAGGGTGTTGTTTCCCTGATTTCTTTCTTGGCCCTTTTGTCTTTGGTATACAGGAGGGCTTCTGATTTTTTTGAGTTCATTTTGTGTCCTGCCACCTTGCTGAAGGTGTTTATCAGTAGAAGGAGTTCTATGGTTGAATTTTGGGGGTCGCTCATGTAGACTATCATATCATCTGCGAATAGTGACACTTTGACCTCCTCCTTTCTGGTTTGTATCTCTTTGATCTTCTTTAGCTGTCTTATTGCTTTAGCTAGGACTTTAAGTACTATGTTGAAGAGATATGGAGAGAGTGGGCAGACTTTTCTTATCCCTGATTTCAGTGGGATTGATTTAAGTTTCTCTCCATTGAGTTTGATGTTGGCTATAGGCTTGCTGTATATTACCTTTACTATGTTTAGATATGTGCCTTGTATCCCTGACCTCTTCAAGTCTCAGAATGGACATTTTTCCTATGTTAATCCTGCCAATCCATGAGCATGGAAGATCTTTCCATCTTCTGATATCTTCTTCAATTTCTTTCTTAAGAGACTTGAAGTTATTTTCCAACAGGTTTTTTACTTGCTTGGTTAGAGTCACACCAAGGTACTTTATGTTTTTAGTCGCTATTGTGAAGGGTGTTGTTTCCCTAATTTCTTTCTTGGCCCTTTTGTCTTTGGTATACAGAAGGGCTTCTGATATTTTTGAGTTTATTTTGTATCTAGCCACTTTGCTGAAGCTGTTTATCAGCAGGAGTTCTCTGGTTGAATTTTTGGAGTCACTCATGTAAATTATCATATCATCTGTGAATAGTGATACTTTGACTTTTTCTTTTCTGGTTTATATCCCCTTGATCTCCTTTAGTTGTCTTATTGCTCTAGCTAGGACTTCAAGTACAGTGTTGAAGAGATATGGAGAGAGTGGAAAGCCTTGTCTTGTCTCTTATTTCAGTGTGATTGATTTATGTCTCTCCATTGAGTTTGATGTTGGCTATAGGCTTGCTGTATATTGCCTTTATTATGTTTAGGTATGTACCTTGTATCTCTGATCTCTTCAAGACTTTAAACATGAATGGGTGTTGGATTTTGTCAAATGCTTTTTCAGCATCTAAGCATCTTTTTTTAAATTAAAATTTAATTTTAATTTAAGAAATATTTTACACTATTAAACTTGTTATTTGCTGAAAATTCAGTTTGGACAACAACAACTTTGTTTCCAAATGGATCTAGAACATATATAGATAATTTTATACTTATTAGGCAACTGCCATTGTTTCCATTTACAAGCAAATAAAATAAGGTAGGGAAAAAGGTCAGAACTATTAAGCATCATGTGGGACTTAACATCTGCTTGTCTGTAGAATACAGCATTCTCCTACCTACCTGAGCACCTGGAATAGCTCAGGTCTCTATGACCTAGAATGAAATCCTTTTTAAATCAACAAAGGAATGGACTACTCAAATAGCATTCAATTCTCTAAATACTACTTGGAAAGGAAACACATTGTCTTCCTCTCCTCTCCTATTCCCACCCAGCTCTAATGTCCTCTGTGCTTCCTTTAAATGACATGAATTAAAGCTATCATAAACTCAAGTTTCACAGCTCCTGGGTCTGAAAGGGAAGTCAGTTGCAGAGTACAAAAGGTTGGTGGGAGCTGGCCCTTCCCCCAGGCTGTCTCACTTCTAGAGGGTGGTCTCATATACACTCAAACCAAGTTTAAAGTGGCCTGAGTGCTCTGCTTGGAATGAAATTTTTTACCCTGGGATTCTGCTTAGATATTTGCGTTCTCACTTGCCACAGGAGGTGGTTTCTTCTCCCAGGCTGTGTTCAGTGATAACACACTTAGCATGACCAGATTGATCTCTGTGTCAGCTCAGCCTCAAGTCAATGATATTCTGGACTTTGTATCAGCCTGGACTCTTCTATACAGTTTGCATTCAGAGGAAAGGCAGTAACATAGTGAAAGGACTAGAACCTGTCCCATAAAGTATATAAGATTCAGAGATGAAGCCACAGAGATCCAATGAGATGTAAAATCCTGGGAGCATATTGATTAAGCCTTGTGATTTTGTTTTACATATGAATACCCTCAAGGACTCTTCATACGGTTATCATCACAGCACCAAGATTGCATTGGACTTGCTGGTTTCTTTTAATAAAGAGATATATGGCTCTGGAAAACATGTGGAAAGATATATGGGAGACACTGACTCTGTCTACGATGAGTACTAGGCAGGAGTGCTGGGTCCCAGACTTTTGTCCATGTATCTCACTGACATCACAATCTCACCTCTAAGCTAATAACTACTGGCCTTCAGAGAGCTTCTTACAGTAGAGGCTTATGTCTGGGGACATGGCTCAGTTGGAGAAGAGCTTGTGTTTCAAGCACAAGGTCCTGGATTCCACTTGCAGTGCTCCTGAAATATGTCATGATGGTATTCGTCTATAGCACAGCACTGGGAGCTAATGGCAGGAAGATAAGTTCAAGATCCTCCACAACTACCTAGGTTATATGGTCTCGTCTACGTCAGAAGAGCCATTCTTTTGGTATAATGTCATAAATATAAGTTGTTTCAAAACAAGAATTTTCCATGCTTTGACCCTGTTTACTTTTCTTCAATTGCAGGACTGTGGCCATGTCACTACACGGAAAACCAAAGTGATGGTCACAGATTTACGATGAGTATAATCCCACTAACCAACAACAGTGGGAATCTCTGTATGTGTGTGTGTGTGTGTGTGTGTGTGTGTGTGTGCGCACGCGCATGTATGTGTGTGTGTATGTGTTTGTGTATGCATGTATTTTATATATATGTGAGGGTGACACAAACACACATATACATATATATATATATATATGTGTGTGTGTGCATAGAGTGGTGACATATCTTTGTGCATGTTCAACTTATGTCACGTATGTTACTTGTTTGTCATGGTTGTTATTTGTATGTCTTGTATGTTATATCTGTGTCACATATGTTCACAATGTGCTTATTACTGAACACTGAGCTCATTCACAGTGCCCAGAGGAAAACACTAATGTGTTTTATTTTAAGGTTTATTTTATTTTTATTTTATTTAGTAGTTCGTAGTGAGTGGAATTTGATTTTTGTCAGATAGTATATTTGTTAATAAATTAAGACATTTTCTGGCCAGGAACCCATACTGGTATAAATTCCCAGTGCACCTAACACTTGCCTGCCTCAACTGCTGGGCTCCCTGAAAAGCAATGAAAAGAAATCAGCAATATTATTCCTTAAATCACCTTCAAAGACCCTTAGCACTTACATTTACACACCTTAAAGCACATGTTTAGAACGTCACAACTTAAGCTTTTCTGTCCTCAGACCTTTACAACTTGTAGTCACACCCTCTGCATGAAGCTGTTGATCTGACTCTCCTAAAGTGTGTAAGTGTGTATCTGCCTCTTGGATCCTACCATTGTGGGTAACAGTAGATAAAGCAGGCAGCTCCAGGGTGACATTTACTCACTGACAAGATGATCTTAGTGGTTAGAGCAGATAGAGAAGAAAACAACTGGAGAGGGATACTGAGAGAGGATTTTTTTTTTTTTTTTTTGGAAGAGGGTAGTTTCAGTAGAGGAAGAGGAAAGCATTTTAGTAAGGGCAGTTGCCCAGCCCATAATGGTAGGATCCAAGAGGCAGACACACACTTACTGAATAGTAGAGGAGAGTCAGGTGGATAGAGCAGGTGGGATGTACTGGCAAGTTGTCTGGCAGAAGCCAGCAGAAACACAGACTCTGAACATTGCTGTGTAGTTATTGTTTAAGTTTAATTTTGTAATGGAATATTTTGTTTTCTCCTACTGTTTTGATTGAAAGATTTGCTGTGCATAGTAGTCTGGGTTGGCATCTGTGGTCTCTTTAGTGTCTGCATGACATCTGCTGAGGTGCTTCTGATTTTCAAAGTTTCTGTTGAGAAGTCTGGTGTGAATCTGATAGGTCTACATTTATATGTTAGTTGGCCTTTTCCCCTTGTTGCTTTTAGTATTTTTTCTTTGTTCTGTAGATTTGGTGTTTTGACTATTTTGTGATGCAAGGAGTTTCTTTTCCGGTTTAGTCTATTTGGTGTTCTGTAGGCCTCTTGTATGTTTATGAACATCTCTTTCTTTAAGTTAGGAAAATTTTCTTCTATGATTTTCTTGAAAATGTTTCCTGGACCTTGGAGCCTGGAATATTCTTTTTAATCTATTCCTATTATTCTTAGATTTCATCTTTTCATGGTGTCCTTGATTTCTTGGCTGTTTTGTTTAGAACTTTTCAGATTTTACTTTTTCTTTGAGGGACGAATGAATTTCTGCAAGTGTATCTTCAGTGCCTGATATTCTCCCTTCCATTTCTTATATTATGTTGGTGATGCTTACCTCTGTGGTTTCTGATCTTTTCTCTAAGTTCTACAGCTCCAGGGTTTTCTTTGTTTGTGTTTTCTCTATTGATTCTAATTCTGTTTCCATGTCTTGCACCATTTCATCCATCTGTTTGAATGTGGATTTCTGTCTTTCCATAACAACCTTTATTTTTATTTATTTATTTATTTTTGTTCATTTAATTTCTGTAGGCCACTCCATGTGCCTCTATTTGTTTTTGCTGTATTTACCTGCATTTCTTTAAGAGCTTTGTTCATTTTTTTATGTGCCTCTAGTAACTGCAGAAGCATAGATTTGAGATATTTCCTGTGTTTTCGATGAATTAGCTTATCCATTGGTTTTTGGGGTTGCTGGTGAAGCCATGATATCCTGTTTTTTGTTTTGTTTGTTTGTTTGTTTATTTATTTATTTATTTATTTTGATTTGTTCTTATGCTGACCTCTGGCCATCTGCTTATCTATAACTGTCACTGTTTGTTCCTGGACTCTATACTTCAGATTGGGTCTTTCTGTCTCTGGTGTGTGGAGTATTCTTCCGGATGATGAGAGAGGTCCACCGGTTTGAGAGTGGATGTTGGTGTTTCAACTCTATCTAAGGGAGGAAGGTTGCAGGTATACCTGTGTACAAGTGTGAGTATGTGCATGGAAGTGTGCCTTGAAGGACAGGATGCTAAAGTGTGTAGATGCCTGGGAGGGTGGAACTTAAGCACAGGATGGGTGTACGTGTTGGCCCTGTTCTCAGGAACAATATGCATTCACAGGTGCTCTAAATACCTCAGCAGCCTACAGACCTGTCTTACTGTCATCCTGGTATACAAATATGTCTGGGCTCCAGGATTTGTTTGCCTGGACTCCACTGGGAGACCCACAGAACACGGGTTTAAATGTTGAGAATGCTGTACCAAGGATCCCTCTCTTGTCCACAGTGGGGTTGAGGAGGGAGTTATATAATATCTGGTTGCTAGCACAGAGGGACCCTTCATATGGAGCCCTGCAAGCACTCATTTAAAGGTGCACTCAGTCACTTGCAGGCCTGTGTACAGTAGAGAGTAGAGTAGATTAGAGTCTGAGAGTAGAAAACAGGGGGATCACATATGCTTTCTGATTAGTGCTGCTAGTGAGTGAGTGTGCTTTTAAGTGAGGGCATGCAGAACCCAAGATCCAGGGACCCTCTATGCTAACAGCCAGATATCAGATCCCTCCCACCCATACCCACACTGTGGGCAACATAGGGATTCATGGGACAGTGGTCTCAACATTGAAGCCTCTGTTCTGTGGGTCTACCAGTGGAATCTAGGCAAGCAATTCCTGGAACCCAGACAGATCAGAATACCAGGAGGAGAGTAACACAGGCCTGTAGGCCACTGAGGTATTCAGGGCACCTGCCTTTGTGCATTGAGCTTGTGAACAGTGCCAGCACCAGCACCCCCTCCTGTGCTTAAGCCCCACATTCCAGGCATCTACACACTTTAGCATCCTGTCCTTCAAGGCACACTTCCATGCACACACTCACACTTGTACACGTGTACCTGCAACCTTCCTCCCTTAGACAGAGCTGAAACACCAGTATCTACACTCAAACCAGTGTATCTCTCTCATCTTCCAGAAGAATACTCCAGACACCAGAGACAAATGGACCCCGTCTGAAGTACAGACTCCAGGCACAAACAGCAACAGTTATAAATAAGCAGATGGCTAGAGGTCAGCATAAGAACACATCCAACAAAAACCAAAACATAATGGCTTCACCAGCAACCCCCAAAATCAACGGATAACCTAATTATTCAGACACACAGGAAAATTATCTCAAATATATGCTTATCCAGATATTAGAGGCACATAAAAAGGAAATGAAAAAAAAAAAAAAGCTCTCAAATACAGGCAAATACAGCCAACAAATAGATGTGCAAGTAGAGGCACAATTAGTAGCATATAGAGAGGAAACAAAAAAAAAATAAAAAATAAAGGCCATTATGGAAAGATAGGAATCCACATTCAAACAGATGAAGGAAATGGTGCAAGACATGGAAACAGAATTAGAATCAATAGAGAAAACCTGGGAGCTGGAGAAATTAGAGAAAAGATCATGAACCACAAAGGTAAGCATCACCAACAGAATACAAAAGGTGGAAGAAAGAATTTCAGGTGCTGAAGATACACTTGCAGAAATTGATACATCTCTCAAAGAAAAAGTAAAATCTGAAAAGTTCTAAACACAAAACATCCAAGAAATCAAGGACACCATGAAAAGATAAAATCTAAGAATAATAGGAATAGACAAAAACGAAGACTCCAGGCTCCAAAGGCCAGAAAACATTTTTAAGAAAATCATAGAAGAAAATTTTCCCAAGTTAAAGAAAGAGATGTCCATAAACATACAAGAGGCCTTTAGAACACCAAATAGACTAGACCAGAAAAGAAACTCCTTGCATCATAAAATAGTCAAAACACTAAATCTACAGAACAAAGAAAAAATACTAAAAGCAACAAGGGGAAAAAGGCCAACTGACATATAAATGTAGACCTATTCACATCAGACTTCTCAACAGAAACTTTGAAAACCAAAAGCGCCTTGAGAGATGTCATGCAGACACTAAAGAGACCACAGATGCCAACCCAGAATAGTATATCCAGCAAATCTTTCAATCAAAACAGATGAAGAAAACAAAACATTCCATTACAAAACCAAACTAACCAATATCTACACAGCAAACCAGCCCTACATAAAATACTAGAAGGAAAACAAACTACAAACCAATGAAAACAACTACACCCAAGAAAACACAGGTTATAGATACCTTCACAACAAAAAATTAAAAGAAAAGAAGCATTGAAACACAGTAACATCACCAATTCCACAATAAAAGAAACTAATATTCATTGGTCACTATTATCTATAAACCTCAATGGACTCTACTCTCCAATAAAAAGACACAGACTAAGAGAAAGGTTTCGGGAACAGGATCCAACATGCTGTTGCATCCAAAAAAAAAAAAAAAAAAAAAAAAAAAACACATTTCTGCAAAAAAGGTAAACGATATCTCAGAGTAAAGGGCTGGAAAATTGTTTTTCAAAAAAAAAAAAATGAACCCAGAAAGCAAGCTGGAGTGGCTATCCTAATATCTAATAAAATAGACTTTCAACCAAAATTAATTTAAAAACATAAGGAGGGGCATTTCATTCTCATCAAAGGAAAAATCTACCAGGAGGACATCACAATTCTGAACATCTATGCCCCAAATACAAGAACACCAACATTTGTAAGTAAAACATTATTAAAGTTTAAATAACACATCG